GCCCCTGCGCCGTGTGCACTGATCCGGTACCGCCCCAGATGCCGGCAGCTTTCCCGTCTGATTCCGACTCGTCGCGGGGTGTCGCCTCTGATCCATCATTCGCCTCCGATGCTTCGTCGTCCGGGTCTGACTCCGATCCTAATACTGGTGCTGAATCGGGCCCTGATTCCGAGTCGGATTCTCCTCCGTCGCCTCGCATGCCGCCTCCCTCTCATCCGATGACCACACAGGCGAAATCTGGGATCTTCAAGCCGCGTTACCGGGTTGATTTGGCACACTTACATTCTCACTCTTTGTTTACGCAGGTTTTTTCTGCCCTGGTGCCTTCGTCTTATGCGGATGCCTTGTGTATTTCTCATTGGCGTGATGCCATGCATGCTGAGGTTGCGGCTCTTCATCAAAATAAGACGTGGACTCTTGTTCCTCGTCCGTCTCATGCCAATATTGTCGGTTGTCAGTGGTTGTTTCGCACCAAGTATCATGCGGATGGGACGGTTGAGCGCCACAAAGCTCGCCTTGTTGCGCAAGGATTTAGTCAAGTTCTGAGTCTTGATTTCTCTCATACGTTTAGTCCGGTGGTCAAGGCGGCTACCGTTCGTGTTGTTATCACTCTTTTCCATTGTTAATGGTTGGCGGTTGCGCCAACTCGATGTGAACAATGCCTTCGTTCACAACACCTTGGATGACACGGGGTTCATGCACCAACCCTCGGGCTTTGCGGATGCTCGCCATCCCGACTATCTGTGCAAACTTAATAAAGCTATTTATGGTCTAAAACAGGCACCGCGTGCATGGTTTCATCGTCTCAGTTCGTTTTTAGTTCAGCATGGTTTTACTTGTAGCCGTGCTGATCCGTCTCTATTTGTGTTTCGTTGAAACTCCTGCATTATTTATTTGTTGGTCTATGTTGATGACTTGATTGTCACCGGCTCCGATGATGCTATCATATCCTCGTTTATTTCTCGTCTTCATGTTGAGTTTCGTATTAAAGATCTTGGGCGGCTAAATTACTTTCTTGGCCTCGAAGCTGTGCATCATTCTAGTGGCATGTTTCTGTGTCAGGCCAAGTATGCTCATGACATTGTCTCACGTGCCGGTCTTCTTCATGCCAAACGGGTTCCTACTCCTCTTGCTGCCAATACCGTTTTGGTTCGTGACGGTCCTGCCTTTGCCGATCCCACCCTCTTCCGCTCGTTGGTTGGCGCTTTGCAATATTTGACCATTACTCGCCCCGACATTTCTTATACGGTTAACCAACTTAGCCAGTTTCTTGCTGCTCCGACCGAGGCTCATTTTCAGGCGGTCAAACGCCTTATTCGCTATGTTAAGGGTACTCTATCGTTTGGCCTCACCTTTACACGCCCTCGGTCTGTTGCCATTGTTGGTTATTCTGATACCGATGGGGCCCGGTGTCTTGAAACTCGCCGCTCTACTTATGGGTACTCGATATTACTGGGGGGTAATCTTGTATCATGGAGTGCTAAGAAACAGCCCACAGTTTCCCGCTCCAGTTGTGAGTCTGAATATCGAGCCATGGCAAACACGGCAGCTGAAATTATTTGGATTACTCATATGTTACAAGAGTTATATGCTTTGCCCACCGGTTGTCCTACACTTCTTTGTGATAATCAGAGTGCATTATTTCTCACTCAAAATCCAGTCGCTCACAAACGTGCTAAACACATTGACCTTGACTATCATTTTGTTCGTGAGCTAGTTGCATCCGGAAAACTGGTCACCATGTTTGTTCCTACCAAGCTTCAAGTCGCTGACATCTTCACCAAGAGTCTTCCTCGACCGCAGTTTGAGCAGTTTCATCGCATGTTGCGCCTTGGGTCACCGCCTTTGCTTGAGGGGGGATATTAGCCTAGCTTATATTTATGTAAACTATTAGATTTATTGTATACTTGAAGGGTGTATACTGTATCATTTTTCTAGTATTTATATAAGATAACTCCCATGGCTATTGGGGTGGTATTCCATTTATCACATATTTGAATGAAATATATGTTTATTTGTGGTTATCATTATAACATATTTTGATCTTTTATTAGTTGTTTGATCCTTTGCAGGTTACCAATTTCTCTACGTTTGGCCACTTTGAACGGTTTTTTAGTAGTCAAAAGTCGGGTCGATTTGTTTATACTTTTGGGTATACTAATTTTTTGGTTAATAAAAGAATTAGTAACTTAGAAAGTAAAATATTCTATTTGCTATTTCTACATGAAGTTGAAGTTCATGCGGTATTCACTTATTTGATTGCATATTGTTTTAAAAATATTTGATTGCATGTTGTTTTTGTAGAACATGGTGTTTCGTTTATTTGAGTAAAATGATTATGGAATTTTGTATATGTATTTGAAGAATACTAAGGTTTCATATTTTGTAATGGATTCGGTATTGTTTTTATCTGATTGACCAAGACACTAATGAGTTTTCTTAGGACTCGATATAAGTTGTAGATGTTAGATTTTTGTAATAGATTTTGGTATTTGTTGCTAATGGTAATACCATGAAATTGATGAGTTATATTTAATTTTATAGATAGTGGTGATATCCACTCAATCACTTAATAAGTTAAGGACTTGATTCATTAATTTCATAAACGATAATCTTATTTATTTCTCTTCGTTAGTGATGTATCCATTAATGTTACTAGGATAAAAGAAAAAATATAAATCTAATGGAAAAATATCAATAACATGCCACAGCCAAACCATTATGTAATTTACTATATGAAATCCATAATTTTATTAAATATAAACGAAAAATATATTTGCAATAAAAAACAGATCATATACAATGCAAGTCGCATATAGGGTGATGTTCAATAGATAACCATAATTAACCAAGAAACCAATGAACCAATCTTTTTTTCACTTTTGTAACTTGTTTTTTATAAAAAAAAAATAATAATAAAGAAATTCATAACTTTTTATCTTTTTTTCCAGTGATATCAAATTCGATTTTTTACGTTAAATTCACAACGTGAATCCGAAAAATATTTTTCACATTCACAATGTTAATATATGAATTTAGATATTTTTAATTTTTTTTTTCGATAAAGAATAAGCTCTAAAAATTGAAAAATAAAAATTTGATTCTTTGAAGAACCAATAATTATGATTCTCTATTTAACTTTTCCATATATATATATATATATATATATATATATATATATATATATATATATATATATATATATATATATATATATATATATATATATATATATATATATATATATATATATATATATATATATATATGGAAGAGTTATATGGAAAATAAATGATTAGGGCAACACATATTTGAACCAATGAAAACATGACAACACATCACTTCCACAATAACTTCCATAATACATTACTTGTGAAGAAAGAAATGGACACATATCATCTGATTATTGGTTCCAGTAGATGTTGCCCTAGTTATTTGTTTTCTATAGAACTCATTCCTATATATATATATATATATATATATATATATATATATATATATATATATATATATATAGAAAGTAAGAAAAAATAAAACTAAAAGGTAATAATTTAAATTATTACACAGTATAGGAACAACAAAAAATTAAAGAGCCATTCTTTAGAATGACATGTAGAAACATGATATACCCACAAAACTAATTTTCAGCATTTCATAAAAATTAACTATGTATTAGGTGAAAAACAGTAAGCCATGCCTAATAATTTTTAAAGTTTTCTTACACATGAAATAGACCATTTATGATGATAAAAAAGCTCTTGGATTTTGGTCACAAATTCCGGGATGTATTTAAAATTGTGAAAATTTGAAAGTTTTCATGAGTAAAACTTTTCTCTAATGTGTGTTTAGGATTATGACATGTTTCGTGAAGAAAATTAAGCTCCTTTTGAAAATTTATAAATCCTTAATTTGTAGCCCATAAACCAACATAAACCTTAAACGCCAGTTAATTTGTTGGCGCGTGTATACAACTAATATATATATATATATATATATATATATATATATATATATATATATATTATATATATATATATATATAATATATTATATATATATATATATATATATATATATATATAAACGTAACTAATTGGGTCAGTGAATAGAGATAATATTATTTTTCTAAACCATTCTTTAAGCAAATTTTATTCCATTGACCGAACAAGTAGAAAAGGTTAAAAGGAAACTTCATAGCAAAAGCAGTGGACTAGGAGTAGCCGAATAGGGGGGTTTTTCTTGCTCTCTACCAAAAGTTAGGCAACCAAATCAACATTTGTTTGTTGGTATGATTTAATACTTAATGTTTTGAATTGTATATATGACGCATGTATATCATATGCCTATAAAATACATGTTTTTAGTCGCAATGTATGAGGTGTTTGGATTTTTGTTTTCAACGTGATTGGTGCAACATTAAGAATCAGATTTTCATAAAGAAACTAACAATTATTATTATTATTATTATTTTTTAATGTTACAAAACTAGATAATCATAAAATTCATATTTTAGAATTCATTTTATTGTAAGGATTTTATGTGTGAACTTATGTAAGAACATTCAAATTCATTTACTAAAAATTATGCCAATCTGTCCCACCTCGCTCCTCTTTCACTTAAAATAATCTACAAGAAATAAGCAAGAAACTTCCTTCAAATCTTCCACTTCAAATCACATTTTTTTATTTTATTTTTTCCAACCACTTTCCAAACATTTTCTCCCAACCCCTTTTGACACCTTGACTTGACCTCCTACACACACGCATACGTCTTTATAAATCCATTCTCATACTTCACTAACATTCATGTTCTTTAGTTTCATTTCACCAAAGAAAACATATTTTTAACCACTAACCATGACTTTCATGATAAGTTCATTCATCCAATTCTTCATCTTCTCAACATCCAAGTTTTTCATCTACACCAAACTCAATTTTTCCATGAATGAATCCAAGATTCATGTTGAAAAAAAGACCCAACATTCAAAATTATCAAAAAGGATGCCTTCGTTTAGAGATAGAAGCTTACGAAGAGATGAGGTGGAGATGGTGATGGATAATTTGGGAATTTTCAATCTAGGGGACAAAATCCCAGAAAGATTGAGTTCTAATGATGCTTTTAACATTTTTGAAGAAGAAAATCCAAATTTGGATGATGTTAAGGGAGCTTTTGATGTGTTTGATGAAAATAAAGATGGATTTATTGATGCAAGAGAGTTGCAAAGAGTTCTTTATGCTATGGGGTTGAAGGATAGAGCACAAATGGATGATTGCAAGAAGATGATCAGAGTTTTTGATGTGAATGATGATGGTAGAATAGATTTTGATGAGTTTGTGAAGTTTATGGAAGGAACATTTTGTTAATTTGTTGGATTCTATCTCTTTTGCTTTTCCTATATGTATCTATTAAAAGGTTAATGCAAAAAAATAACGTTTCTATTGATTTATTTATTTATCCTTTAAGTTTCATTTTTGCCTATTACAATGTTGTATTTTGGAAAATCTATTAATTAATTATAGCAATGTCATCCATAAATGAATAAATTTTACTATCATAATTGGATAGATTTTTCAAAATACAATGCGTTTATAAGTTTTTTTTAGTTGCTGTTGTAGTAGATATAAATTAATTTAGGATGATATAATCTCCTTATACTAATAAAAGAGTAGTTCTTTTGCCATATGTCAATATATTAGACATTTTAATTAATGTGTTGCTACTTGTCAATCAATTAGTTATCCATTTTAAATTTATTAAACATCCTCATTAATGTGATACTATACTATTTGTCAATGTATTTATTCTCTATTTTAAATTTAAATTTTAAAATTTATATTATTGTTTTCATTAATTCAAAAATAAAAAATATCTAATATATATTAAAAATTAATTTTATATATTTATTTGAATCAACAATTATAATTTCACATAACTAGTAAAAATATCTCTTAAATTAATAATTTATTTAAAATAACTGATTAATAATTTTGAGTTTTTTACTATAAAAATTTAATTAATTTTATAATCATGGTTCCCACGGGTTATAAATTAGTACATAAATAAATGAAAGTATGTTACTATTTCATTTAGTCCTATTTTAAATAAGGGCAAATTGTAATAAAAAAATCGTTATATATTGGATGGTTTTGCAGTTTAATCAATCCATATAAGTTTTAAACGTATTTTTTTTACTAGTTATTCATTTTTTTTTTCAAATTAACCAATTACACATGATATATTATAAATCATAGTAATTTTGTTAAATTGTGCTTCACCAATAATTTTTCAAATTAACCAGTTTTATTATATCTGACCAAAACGTTTAATTTATCATAATTATCATGGTTGAATTGGAAAAAGAATAAAGTATAACTAGTTAAACCATAAAATTGCCCAAAATATATTTTTTTCTAAATAATTTTCCCATTAAGTTATGCTAATTCATTCTTTTGGGAAGACTTTCAATTTGTATTCAAGGCTATCAATTCAAAATATAATCTTTTTTTTTTTTTTTTTTTTTTTTTTTTTTTTTTTTCATACAACACCATGAACAGAAACTACGCAAACTACTAATAATATTAGAAAGACTAAAACAAGATTTATACACATCAATTAAACTAATCATAATCATAGAACTATATCACCCAAAAATGCTCATTTGTCACCAATAATCTCCACACGAGCAACTTCCATCTTCAAAATGATGAAATTTCTTAACATCTCTTACCACAATCACCCTCTTCGTAACTTTTGAGATTAATTTCATCACACAATGACAATCATCACAAATCCTCAAATTCTTTATAATACGAATTGGCACCTCTTCATGTGTTTTCAATAAAGCATAAGCAACGGCAAGCTTCTCACTATGAAACCCAATATAATCCTCCTTTTGTTCATCTTCAACATCATGCAACACATCACCCGTATCAACCACATACCCAATTTCCTTAATTTTACAAAACAACTCCTTCAACTTTTCAAGAATGTCAATAAACTCCGGATGTTTCTTATCACCCGAAACAAACACATGCGTTTCATTCTTTATCTCCAACCAACTCAACCCGGGTTCTTTTTTTATTTTCCTTTTTTTCATTAATTCACGAACCTTTGTAACCCCACTAAAGTTTCTACCCTTAGCATGAATATTCGACAAAAGGGTATATGTCCCTTCATCTTTAGGGTCCAAATTTATAATAAAGTCTCCAACTTTTTCACCTAAAGTGTAATTTCTATGAACGTTACATGCACTAAGAAGTGTTCTCCAAGCAATTGTGTCCCATTTGATGTTTGTTGATAACATGAAATCGAAAGCTTCATTTAATCGTCCTAATTTGCTTAAAAGTCCAACTATGCAAGTATAGTGTTCTAAAGTAGGGTCCACACCCTTTTGTTTCATTAACTTTTTCAAATAGTAAAACCCTTGTTCTACAAGCCCTAAATGTTCACAAGCAATAAGAACACCAACAAAAGTCACTTGATTAGGATCTTGACCCGATTTCAACATTTCTTGAAATAAATTCAATGACTTTTTACCAAAACCATGATGGGAATACCCACATATCATTGTATTCCATGTTATAATATCACGAGAAATCATACTTAGAAATATCTTTTCTGAAGATTTAATGTCACCTATTCTTGAGTACATATGAATTAAAGCATTTGTAACATTCGTATGACTTATGAAACCTGTTTTCTTTATAAGTCCATGTAACGAGTGTCCATATCCTATAGAGGCTAATCCACCACTAGCATTGAGTAACACAGAAAAGGTAGATTCATTAGGGGCAATATCGTCATTTTGCATGGTGAGAAATAATTTTAACGACTCCTCAAACAACCCATGTTGTGAATAAGCATCCAAGATTGATGTCCATGAAACTACATTTCGAGTTTTACACATGTTAAAAACTTTTCTAGCACTTGAAATCTCTTTACATTTTCCATACATGTTGATGATTGAAGAAGAAACATACACATCAAACTCAACATTGCTTTTTAACAACTTGTTGTGAACTTGTTGCCCTAAGTATAGATCTTGAAGATGAGCACAAAGACTAAATACACAAGTATAAGTCGATTTTTCCCACACCATTTGTTCATCCAACGTTTTCTTTAAGATATCTATAGCTTCAGTAAAGTATCCATTCTTAATAAGTCCATTCAAGATGAGATTATAAGTACAAGTATCAGATCCAGGGATTGAAACTAAAACCTCCATAGCTCCTACCACATCTGACACCATGGAATACAAACGTACAAGTGAGTTTTTCACGTATTGATAGAACACTAAACCAGATTTCATCACGTACCCATGACACTGTTTACCTAATTGAATGTTCCCAATGTTAGAACAAGAAGAAAGAATCGAAGCAAATATATACTCATTAGGCTCGCAAAACTCATCGTTCTCAGAAACCATTGATTTGAACAATCTAAGAGCTTCAAAAGAATACCCGTTTTGGAAAAACCCCGACAGTAAAGAACCCCACGAAACTACATTTCGTTTGGACATTTTATCAAACACATGGCGTGCAGATTCTAGTTCTGCACATTTGGAGTAGAGATCGATCAGTGCGTTAGTCTCGAGGATATGATCGTCGGAGGTTTGATTAGACACAATCAAACGAGCGTGAATTACTTTCCCGAGCTCAAGATTTTTAGTCCCGGCTAAGTATCGTAGGAGTTTGACAGTGTCATGTTCAAGCGCAGTGAAATGTGTCGGCCGTATTAGGGCGGAGATTGCCATAATTCCACCTGAATTGACTATAAAAGAATGACGGAATTGAAAAGCAGCAATGGATGAAAATCAGTAGCCGAAGAAATCATGCTTTTGATCTTTCATTCGTTGTCGCAATTTTGTCTTTGATGATATGTTGTTGTATGTGTTATTTGAAGCTCTGAGATTGTGTCCTTAGGCCCTACCTATTTATCATTCAAGCAATCATGTTGTGCACATGGGTCGGGTTTTATTTAATCCGGATATTCGTATTTAACATCAAGAAAAAATTGGAAGTTTGGTCCATGTGGTTTGTCAAAAATTGAAAGTTTGGTCCAAAAAGTTTTGGTTTGCACTGGTGGTCCAAAAGGTTTGATTTGTTGTGGAATTAGTCCAAAGGCTTAACAGCCGTTTGTGCCCTCCGTTTGTGTGAGGGTATTTCTATCAATTCACACCCATTCCTTTATCTTCTTAAATTAAACCTCATCTTCCTAATTAATTGATACCTACTGCCAAATCCCCTTTGCAGTTCGTCGATTGATTATCACATCACCTTCGTCTTTGTTCGTTACCCAAAAGCCCTAATCTCAAAGTGAAGTTTTTTTTTTTTTTTTTTTTTTTTTTTTTTTTTTTTTTTTTTTAGTGTAAACATACCAATGTGGAATATAAGGCTCTTAGACAAACCGTTCAATGCAAAGGTGGCGTATGGTAAGGATTTTGTAATTTCTTTGTACATTACATCTTTTGTATGTGAAATCATGCTTCTGAACTTATTTTTGTTGTTGGTTTGAAGATGGCCATCCAACATTATTTACCATCAAGCTATACCATGGAGGTGAGTTCACCAAGTTTCCTGATGTTTAGTACATATTCGACCAGAAGGAGCTCAACATGAGACAACGACGGTGGGTCGAACTACTCAATGACTACGAATGCGAAATTCATTATCATCCGGGTAAAGCCAACGTAGTAGCAGACGCCCTAAGTCGGAAAGAATATTCTGATCGAAGGGTCAAATCATTGACCATGACTATCCATTCGCACCTGTCCACGCAAATTAAGGAGGCTCAGCACGAAGCCTTGAAACCTAAAAACGTGATGAGTGAATCCCTTAGAGGGATGGATAAGAAATTGGAAGTCAAGGGTGGCAGAGCCTTATATCTCATGGACCGCATCTGGACACCGAAGCACGGTGGCTTCAGAAACTTGGTCATGACCGAGGCGCACAACACTAGATATTCTGTCCACTCAGGTTCGGATAAGATGTATCTAGATCTTAAAAAGTTATACTGGTGGCCTAACATGAAAGCAGAGATTGCTACCTTCGTGAGTAAATGCCTTACTTGCGCTAAGGTCAAGATTGAATACCAGAAACCCTCCGGTTTACTACAACAACCTGAGATACCAGAATGGAAGTGGGAGCGGATCACTATGGACTTCATAACCAAGTTACCCAAGACAACGGGTGGACTTGACATCATTTAGGTCATCATCGATAGATTGACCAAGTCTGCACACTTCCTGCTTATCAAAGAAACTGACAAGATGGAGAAGCTTACAATAGCATGCATTCGGGAGATCGTACAACTGCATGGTGTTCCTATATCCATTATCTCCGATAGAGATAGTAGATTCACTTCGAGGATCTGACAGTCACTACAAAGTTCCCTAGGAACAAGGCTAGACATGAGTACAACCTACCATCCTCAGACCGACGGACAAAGTGAGAGAACTATCCAAACACTGGAAGATATGTTGCGAGCCTGTGTGATCGACTTTAGGAAAGCATGGGATACTCATTTACCCCTTGTAGAGTTTTCTTACAACAATAGTTATCACATGAGCATCAAGGCTACTCCATTTGAAGCCCTCTATGGCCGGAAGTGCAGATCCCTTCTGTGCTGGGATGAGGTGGGTGAGACCCAGTTAGCTTAAGGACAAGTTCCTGACAGCACTCTCATAGGTCCCGAGTGTTGGATAAGATGTCTAAGTCCATAACTATTTCTGGTATGTACTTGACCCGACCCGGCATGGTCCATTTGGGTTGCATGGCACCATGCAATTGGATAGACTAAATGAGAGAAATAACGCTTGGAGATTATTAATATATTATAAGTTCTAATATATTAATAATATTATTTGATTAGTTTGATCAAGAATTAATTTAGAATTAATTAAGTGATCAAAAGATAACTAATTAAATATATGGGTTGATTAAGTAAATCATCCATATCTTGTATAGTGGGCTAAAAGGCTCCATGGATCATCAAGTTGGGTTCCACCCATAGGATGCTCCATGGATGCTCCATGGGAGTTACAAACCCATGGGTCATGGAAATGAAGAGTCATGACACATTAGGGTTTAACCCTAGATGTGTCAACACTATATAAGTAACATGATCTCCTCCCAAATCGGTTACACTAAGAATAAGAGGGCTTGGCCGATTTTGAAGAAGTGAGTATTCTCTCATAAGTTCTTCCAAGAGCATTTGGTGTTGTGTGAAGCATTTGAGGCATCACACTTGGGGTGCTAGGCTCACAAGGTTTCAAGGAACACAAGCAACAACAAGGTAAGTTATTCTATCTATACTTTATGTTAAAATTGTTCCCCATGTATGCTAGATAGGAATATAACCTTGGAATTCAACTTTGCATGACAAATTAGACAAACATAGATCCAAGGTTATTAGGGTTGCATGTACACTTAGGAAGTGTTAGAATGCTCAAAACCCATCAGTGGTATCAGAGCCTAGGCTTGTTTGTTCTTATTTGTGCTTAAAAGTTGAAAACAGAATCGAAATTTGCTGTCTGCGAATGGACTCGTCGAGTCTATAGGGGGGACTCGTCGAGTCCATGTGTATCTTCAACCAACTCGGCGAGTCATGTTCATGCACTCGGCGAGTAGGGTCGAATGAGTGCAGAATTTCGATTCAGTTGCTGGAAAATGAATTAGAAACATTACCCTAAACTGTTTTAGTAAATGTAAACTTGTTTTTGGTGGTGTAATGTCTTTGCTAATTCATTTACAACAACTAGTTATCAAAATTACAAAGTTTTATGTAATTTTTGATTGTGTTCATATTCATGTTCTTGTTCTTATGATGTTTTAGATGATCATAGGAATTATTTGTAACCTATTTGGTAGTTTAATTCTTGATCATAATGTGTTTTAATGGAGTCCATAACTTATCCTTAAGTTATGGAAAACCAAGAGTCACACTTGAGTTAAAACCATTAAGAAAACACAAGAGTTATAAAAATGAAGAGTCTTCATTTTATGACTCTATTAAACTCATAAGTTACAAGAAATGAAAAGTTTTGAAAGTTACAAAACTTGCCCTCAAGTTTTGGAACAAGTAAAGTTAAGTTAAAACTTTAGTTCCAACCCCTAGAATTTTAAAAGTTAAAATTCAACCCTTATACTTATATTATGATGATTTAATAATTATATATATATATATATATATATATAGTACAAGTCGTTTACCGCTAGTACGCCTCATTCACGAAGCCGGTCTATAAGGTGGGTATAAGGTTGTTGCCTATAAAATGGTGACTTAATGGGTGTATATTCTCACCCACCGCTTGCTTGACTGGTGGAGGGTCGTTAGCCGAACGGGTAAGACAAGGACTTATAAATTCTCATTCAAAGTATGATGAATATATAAAGTAACTAAATGTTTATTAAATTCCCAATCTTAGTTACTTTAGGAAAAATGTGAATAAGGTGCTAATCCATGAAATTACACTTTACACTTTGTCTGAGTCGTTGGTGGAGCGTGTGTGGTTAACCGGCACACTAACTTGGACTTAACAAGGTAGGTAAAGGGTGACTTAAGGTTTATTATAGTATCGGTGGAGCGTGTGTGGTTTACCGGCACATCGATTGAGTGATAAACTTTAAGGGTACCAAGTGATTTGCATGGTTACTTCACACCTCGTTTTGTGATCCTCGGCATCCCAGTCACAAAACCTGGAGGGCACTCCCGAGATTGAAACATGCCTTTGAAAAGTTCATTGGATCTCAAAGAATCTAGGAATTTCTAAAACCAATAAAAACTAAATATTTAATATTTCGGTTTTCGTGGTGGAAATTGGTGAATCGTCATTCACCTACCTTTCAAATATGGTATAGCTTAGATTACGGCATACCTCTTCTAAGTTATATTATATTGTGATTGGATCCTAGCCTTAATATTACATTTGGGTGTTTTATTAAGGACTCTCTTAAATCTAAACTAAACTTGTTCTTCTTTTCAGATGTCTTCAAAAATGCTTCTGGCTCGAATCCTAATGGCTCCTTTACTCTTATGAGTCTTGTGTGGGAAAGTCACCTTTGATGGATCCAACTTCAATAAGTGGATCAGAAACATCAGGATGATTACCCGCTACGAGGACAAAGAATATGTCCTTGACAAGGAGCTTAAGGAAATTGACGAGTCCACTGCAACTCCCCAGGAGATCGCTGACTTTCATACTCATGAAAGAGATGCAACCAAGGTGGCTTGCATCATGTTAGCCACCATGACAGCTGAACTCCAAAAGTCTTATGAAGACTTCTACCCTTATGAAATGCACCAAGATTTGATGGAAAGAT